TAATATAATCTTATCATCCTTGCAATAAGAAGATACTGTGTGTATGAATGTGAGTGTGAGTGTGTGTGTGTATGTGTATGAGTGTGGATGGGCGTGTGTGTGCATTTTCTCATGGAGACTCATCCACATGAAAATAGTTTCTCTTTGGATCGCATTACTAAGAGGCACTGGGTCATTAGTGGAGCACATAGCACTTCTGGGGAGTGACAGGAAATGTCAGATCACTCAATCTGCCTAAGTTATAGCTGATAGGGTTGTTTATTTCAAGACTTTCTACAAATTCAGAATTAAATATGAAAAAGCTCAGAGACCCCATAAAATGTACTATGTAAAATTCGGCAAATAATCTAAGTACAAAATATGAAGAGATGTGTCTGATCAATCAAAAGGAGACATGGAATATCGTATTTCCAGGCCAGATCTGCCTGATCTCTTCAACTGTTTTACTTTATGCCCTGTGTTATTCAGGGTTCTCTCTTTCATCTTATCACGTGAATTGCAATTATGTAACATTTATTAGCAATCAAAATATTGGTTAATGCACCCTTTTCTCTCCACTGGCTAAGGGTGGATTTGAGGACCAATCCTAAATTGGCCTGCTTGGGAAAGCATTGATGTTGTGTATCTGAGAGGGTAAAGTTTGCAGGAGCGGGGATGTGGGAATCCCTGTTCCTGATTTGGACAATCTTGAGCACAATCAGGTCAGAAAAGTGTGAATCCATGAGACTGTGGACAGTTGGCCGCGTGGGGGCGCTGTGGCTCCACAACGCTGCAGGGAACCCTGGAGAGGGGTGGGAGGGTGACCCAGGAGAGGAGGGGTGAAGGGAAGCCTGGTTGTCTGCTAGAATGAGCGGGGCGATTGAGTTCAGAGTGGACCCTGAGTTAAACACAGACTCCTCATTGCAGAGAAGGGTAGGGGTGCCAGAGGCCTCAATTTGCCCCAAGGAAAAAGTGTCTCTGTGCCTGTATGGGTAGTGGAGCGTGCTGAGGCTGGGGTGTCAAGGGCTGGGGAATGCTTCTCAGGCCAGGGACAGGGTGGGCAGGCTTAGGAAAGTAGGGCTTGTTGTGAGCATGTGGGCGCTGTGCTGCACCTGCCCCGCCTTTTGTTTAGGAGCCCCGCAGAGCAGGGATGGAACATGGAATAGCAGAACCTGATGCCTGCCTAAGGATACAATGAGCTCACAGTGTCCTGCAGGGCCAGTAACTGGAAAGGCCAGTTTCCTATGGAAATGCCAGAAATATTCCTGCCCTGACGGAGGCTCAGGGTCTGGTGGCAGCCTTTGCCAGGCACTCTGCTGCTTCCTTTTTTTTTTTTTTTTTTTTTTTTTGAGGGAGTCTTGCCTTGCTCTGTCACCCAGGCTGGAGTACAGTGGTTTGATCTCAGCTCACTGCAGCCTTTGCCTTCTGGGTTCAAGCGATATTCCCGTCTCAGCCTCCTAAGTAGCTGGGATTACAGGCACCCACCACAAACCCTGGCTAATTTTTTGTATTTTTAATAAAGATGGAGTTTCACCATGTTGGCCAGGCTGGCCTCAAACTCTTGACTTCAAGCGATCTGACTGCCTCTGCCGCCCAAAGTGCTAGGATTACAAGTGTGAGCCACTGTGCCCGGCCCCTCTGCTGCTTCTTCATGTGGTCTGTTTTAATTCTGACAGAAATCATTCAAAAGAAGTATTATCTTACCTGTTTATACATTTGACTGAAGTAGCTTTCCTGGGTCTCACATATACTTAGATGGAAGAAACCAGACCTAGCATTGGATAGATCAGTAGTGAGGTGACTGTAGTTAACATCAACCAATTGTGCATTTCTAAATAGGGAGAAGGGAATAATTCAAATGTTCCTAAAGAAAATATAAATATTTAAGATAATGCCTATCCCAATGAGCATGATTTGGTTATACAGATGTATCAATGATCACATCTACCCAAAAAATATGTACATCTAATATGCATCCATAAATAGTGAATTATTTTTAAAAAGATAACTGAAGCCTGTTTCTCCAACACCTGTATCCACTGTTCCTACTCTGCAGATTTGTCCTCTCACCTGGTCTTCCGTTTCCAGGTCCCCATTAGCAGGAGGGGAAGATCATGCCACATATGTGATCATTATAGCCTCTCCACTGACAAGTCCAAGGAGGATGTGACTCCCTGGCAAACCATCCATTCATCTTTCATTGTGACAAAAATCGAGGTTCAGTTTTCTCCACTATAGCAGTTCTATGGGTGAGGCCATGTGATTGCTTTTATGGAGGCTGTGTGAGGAGGGAGGTTTCTCAGCTGCACAGCAAGGAAATAAAATGTTGTTTAAGAAAAGTGCAGTCTTCCAGTACCTGATGTAATTTACCATGACGAAAAGACACAAATAATTGCTATTCATTACTTAATTTTAGTATTTTTAAATAAGACACAGAGTCATCTAAAATGCAAAGACAATAGTCTGATAATTAGGTAAAACTAACATAAACAGTTGTGTCTTAAGGGAATGTAACAGTGTTGCCCCTTACAGCACTTCCTGGTTGATACTAAGTCTGATATGCAAGAAGGTGTGATGCTCCCAGAAAGCGGTGAATTCAGAGCAATCGGCAATCCCACAAGAGAGCTGATAGAAGAATGGGCAGCTTTATTAGAAAGAAGAGGAGCCTCTAGTGCCTTCCATGACATCCTCACTGCCCACCTCTAATTTCAGGCTTGCTGTAGTGGACAGTTATGTGCAAGTCCCCATTCACCTCAATCTAGCAGTGCCCTTCCACAGGTGCATGCTGGGAGTCTCTCTGCTTCCTCCCCAGAGCTCTTCCATGATATTATCTGAGCCCACCTGATCTGTACTCAAAGACAGCCAGAGGTCCTGATGCTCCTGGTGAGACAGAGAACTAATGCTCCAGCCTGTCCATTCATGCAGAAACTTCAAACAGCATTCTTTGTGCTCCTGAGAGGAGCTAATGGATTCCATCTCCTGTTGATCCAACATAAACTCAATATTGCACTTTCTTCCTGGCTTCTTCCTTCCCTATTTTATGTTTCTTTCTTAATTCTTCCTGGAACCATTTCCCACATATCATGCACCTAAGTCCCCATCACAGACTTTGTCCTCAGGGACAGCCTATACTGTGGCAGTGATGGAATGAAGCCACCATCCAAAGACCCTTCCCTTTGAAGGAGACCATTGTTTTTCTTTTACTCATACTGCTACCCATTCATTTAAAAAGTCTAACGATGACGTATATAAACTAATCTCTTCCAGGTTCATTTGGAACTATTTCTGAATCCTCAGCAGCCTCAGGATGGCTCTCTGTTCCCTTAAAACTCTGAACGCAATTTGAACTGAATAGATTTGGGTTCTCTTTACAGAAGCAGAGTTTGCCTGGACTCAGGTAATCATTCATTCCATTTTTCTTTCATTCAACAAATCTTTCATGAGCTGCAGGTGCAGAGTAGATTCACGTTTTGTGGGGCGCAAAGCTGATACAGTTTTAAGGAGCTCCTTGCAAAGGAGAATGCAAAATGACAAAGTGTTGGAAAGGTCCTGTGTGAGTGAGAAGGCCTGAGGTTATTCTTCATTGACTTCATGGCAACTGCATAAGTACTGTCCAGGTATGTGGGAAACACCAGCACAGAAACCAGACAAAGCTTCAAGTTGAGGTAGACACTTCCAAAAAATTGTTTTAACTTATTACACTTAATAAAGAGTTAATTAAAAAGTAAAAGAATATATTCATTGTAGATGCTTTTCTCCCCAGAAAAGTTAGAGTGCTGTTGAAAGTACTGACATTCTTGGTAGATTACACCTCATTTAGGGAAGGATCCTTAGAATTCTGGGATTCTATGTGCCCTACCCCCAAAATGAAAGTCCTGCACTAGAAAGCTTTTTTTTTTCCCTCTGCCCTGGCCCAACCATGAGGATTGGCTCCTTTGCTGTGTGGCTCTTGGTCTCCCAGGACCAGGTGAGTTCTGGGCGTAGAAGGGAAAGTCCTTCCTGGGCTAACCAGGCCCCAGCCACGGCCTCCCATGGGGGTGCTCCTGGGCCTTCTCCCTGTCTCCACTTCTGATTCTGTGTCCTCTCTCACTGGAGCATGATTGCGGGAATTACCCATCCAGGTTGCATCAAGATGTGCAGTAGATAATCTGTTGTACCTGAAGAAACAATAGCAGTGCTATTGACTGGATATACGTTTGGCGCCAAAGCACGTTTACACTTCCTCCAATCTTCTCCCATTTGGTGAATACGAGATCTTCTGAATGGAAATAGAACATTTCTCTGTGACCCTAGAGACTCCAGATAGGTGTAGTTCTGGGTGAATATTTCACCCACATTCTTAATGAGCCTCCTCTTTTCTTCACAGGAAGTACAGTCACTTAGAGGACTTAGGTGGTGAGTGTTTGTGGCTTCACCTGAAGTAAAGGGAAAAATCATCCTCATGAGAACACACAGCAGCCTGAGCTCAGATGGCGAGGCTCCCATCAGGTGCAATGAGGTGCTAAGGTGTGAAGCGAGTCTTCAAATGTGAATGACCTTGAATTCACAACTTTGAAACTTTTCTAGATGTCAGTTGACTCTTTTAACCAGGGTATCTCTGTAGGCTGAAATACAAATATCCAGAGGTTAAACATAGTGGAAAATAATTCAACTGGGAGTTGAATTTTGTGCAGAGAAGTCATAAAAGGCACCAGGACTGCCATGACAATATTCTTTGGACTACAGAAATATTCCTAAGTGTTAAAACAGCATTCAAATGAAGAATTTAGCATAATGGGAGTAAAATAAGCATAGAAGAACAAATTTCCCTACTAAAATCAGGGAAGGCGATTACACATTTTAAGATTTCTTTCAAAACAGATCTACAATTTTTTCCCAATCTAAGCTTCTCAACTATTTCTATAATAAATGATTTGTTCCTGTGGGGAAGAAAAGGGGTGTGACCGGTTAGCTCTGCAGTTCAAGCATTTAGCAGGGACAATGACATCATTGAGAGTCACTGAGAGTCACTGAGAGTTCAACTTCAATTTGCCCACAGCAGGGCTGGGAGTCACAAGATCCTGACCTGGAGCTGAAATGGGCACCAGGCTCTTCTTCTATGTGGCACTTTGTCTGCTGTGGGCAGGTGAGGGCTGGTCACAGGAGGGCCTCCTTCCCTGGAATTCCCAAGGCCTCAATGCAAGCTTTTCTGTTAGGATGACAGCATCAGTGTCTGTTGTTCTCTATTACAGGACACAGGGATGCCGGAATCACCCAGAGCCCGAGATACAAGGTCACAGAGATAGGAAGGCAGGTGACCTTGACGTGTCACCAGACTTGGAGCCACAGCTACATGTTCTGGTACCGACAAGACCTGGGACCATGGGCTGAGGCTGATCTATTACTCAGCAGGTGCTAGTATCACAGATAAAGGAGAAGTCCCCGATGGCTATGCTGTCTTCAGATCAAAGACAGAGGATTTCTCCCTCACTCTGGAGTCAGCTACTCGCTCCCAGACATCTGTGTATTTCTGCGCCAGCAGTGAGTCCACAGTGCTGCACAGCTGCCTCCTCTCTGCTCATAAAGGGCAGTTAGAAAAACTGAGGTTGCGGCCGGGCGCGGTGGCTCAAGCCTGTAATCCCAGCACTTTGGGAGGCCGAGACGGGTGGATCACGAGGTCAGGAGATCGAGACCATCCTGGCTAACCCGGTGAAACCCCGTCTCTACTAAAAAAATACAAAAAACTAGCCGGGCGAGATGGCGGGCGCCTGTAGTCCCAGCTACTCGGGAGGCTGAGGCAGGAGAATGGCGTAAACCCGGGAGGCGGAGTTTGCAGTGAGCTGAGATCCGGCCACTGCACTCCAGCCTGGGTGACAGAGCGAGACTCCGTCTCAAAAAAAAAAAAAAAAAAAAAAAAAAAAAGAAAAACTGAGGTTGCCTGTGCGCCCAAGTCTGGGCCCCACGGTGGGAAGTCTGGGCCTCCATAGGAGTCCCAGAGCCCTGCCCAGTCTGGGGGTGTCTTAGAGCAGGGGCCCTATGACCTTCAGTGCTGTGGCTCTATTTCTAACCCTGTCTCGGATGATCTGGAGTTTGCCCCAACACCCTAACCTTGCTGGGTCTCTCTTCCGCAGCTCTTTTTTTCTGCTTGCAGAATGGAAAAGATATTTTGTTCGTATTCCCAATTCCCTTCATAATTTGAAAGGCAACATATTCTTCAGTGACTTCTTCATAAAAACCTTACCATATCCTCTACTACCCTTCAACTCTCAGACACAAACCTTCCCCATGTGGTCTCTGCTCCTGGTTGCCTTTCTTCGGAGGGCAATAGCCCTACAAGATCCTCTATCATTTGTCCTTCACCTTCCTCTCCACCCTTATTTTGCCTCAAGTTTCCCCTGGCTCTCCACTGCAGCCACATTCCCCTACGTTCAGTTACAGCTTCATAGGTGTAGTGTTGTTTTGCACCCTGGGGATTGTTTATGAATAATAGATTATTTCTACTTCACTAAGCATATGTGCCTCCAACTTATTCCTAGGCCTCTACTTCATTCCTTACATAAACGTTTATTTCAGGTATGTTTACACTTAACTGTGAAAAGCAAGACAAATTTTACTAGAAAAAAATTAAGAAATATATTTTTAGCACTCATTTGAGGAGTTAGTTTTTTAGATGACACATGAGAAAACCAGAAGCCACAAAAATATTTGAGGCCGGGAGCAGTGGCTCATGCCTGTAATTCCAAGACTTTGGGAGACTGAGGCAGGTGGATCACTTGAGGTTGGGAGTTCGAGACCAGCCTGACCAACATGCAGAAACCCCATCTCTACTAAGAATAGAAATTTAGTTGGGTGTGGTGGTGCATGCCTGTAATCCTGCAAACTCGGGAGGCTGAGGCAGGAGAATCACTTGAACCTGGGAGGCGGAGGTTGCAAAGAGCCGAAATTGCGCCATTGCACTCCAGCCTGGGCAACAAGAGCAAAACTCAAAAAAAAAAAAAAAAAAAAAATCGTAACTCCAGTTGCCTTAAACTAAACTTTTGTACACCAAAACATAGTGTAAGAAATAAAATGTTAAGCCACAGCACGGGAAAAAAATGAGGAATGCGTGCAGATGATGAAAAATCAGTGTGACAGAGAAGAGTCAGGTTCACCCATGGCTCCTCTATGCTTCCTGGCCTCACCTGCACTTAGAGAGCTGGGAGCATGTCACCAGGTTCTGAATAGTGGTGAGTAAAAATAATGCTAGCCCAATTTCAAGTCTGGCCCTTAAAATATCCTATAGCTCTGTGCTGAGGGTCCCTGAGCGTACTCCCACGTTTAGAAATTTGGCATATGGCATAGAGCTGTACTCACAGCTAAGATTTTTAACATGTCATAGTAAGTTGTCAGCAGCGGATCATATGGAGAAAACACACAGGTGGAATCTGGAGGAATCCAAACTCAGGCCTCCTTATGCTCTCTTCCTCCCAGGGGGGTCACACAGGGTTCTTGTTTCACTCAGTAGCAAAAATGCATTAACACATGTCCAGTGCTTCTGCCAGGTGAGTCCATCAGAGACTCAGCACTCATGAGGTTTTAGAGGAGGCTGGTCACAAGCACATACTGCCTAGCATTAACCAAAAATTCAGACTCCAGAAGGAAATCTGGTGTTCAGTACAATACTGTTTGCAACAGCAGTCTAGGCACAATGAGCCGCTTCTCTCAGGAGAAATTTTGTCAGTGCTGGGCACTGCTCACCAGTCAAATTGCCAAAGATCAGCCAAAGTCCAATCTTGCAAGCAGGCAGTCTCAAGCCTGCTCTCAACTCTTTCCTGCACAGACACTCTTCAACTCTGTTTTGCCATGTCTAGATGAATTTGGGAGCTTCATGGCACAGATTATAAACTGGAAGCAACTTGGAACCCTGGGTCATAATTTGGTGGACAGCCATGGAAAAAAGCTACTCATGCCCTACTGGGTTTTGTGGTCATGAGAGGTAAGACCTGATAGAGTTCAGCCACTGAGATTTTAGGATTTGTTTCATTTTATTTTATTTTTTTCTGTAGCATAGGTGTCCTTTTCTGATAAAGTTAGTGTATAAATGAGTAAAACATTCTCATTAATAAGAAGACAGCCCAATAAAAATGGCAATCGTGAAGCTGAATAGGCAATTCACACAAGTGAACGTAAGTTACCACTAAACATGAGAATAACTTTTTAACCTTACTTATAATCAGAATATAGCAACCTGAAATAATAAGTTATGATTCAAAAATTACTAGATCAGAAACTTTTCAAAGGAGTAACAGTCCTAAATTTGAGTAGACATTTGGACTAATGAAAACTGCTTATATATCCACTGCAAGAGATAATGACAACTACATCGGAAAACCCACTGTGGGATATATTGTGACTAATAGCATTTCTTGAGAAATTATCACTGTGTATAAATCATCTGGGTTCCTTTTCTTGTCTTTAGGTTCAATCATGGAGAATTCAACTTTAAGTATTTATTTTTCCTATTGCAAAGGGAGTTTGTTAAAAAAAATCTTTTAAAAAAGTGGACCGGGCACGGTGGTTCACACCTGTAATCCCAGCTACTCAGGAGGCTGAGGCAGGAGAATCTCTTGAACCCGGAGGCACAGGTTGCAGTGAACCGAGATTGTGTCACTGCACTCCAGCCTGGGTGACAGAGTGAGACTCCAGTTCAAAAAAAAAAAAAAAAAAAAAAAAAAGCAAAGGGTGGGTGGGTGGGGGAAATATGTGTAACATATAATTTTGTCACTTTATTTTTAAATTGTACAGTTCAGCAGCATTAAGTTCATTCACTATGTTGTGGAACCGTCACTATTATCTGCTTCCAAATTTTTTTTCATTGCCTCAAACAGAAACTCAAAACCCACTAAAGAATAACTCTGCATTCCCCCTCTTTCTGCTAACCTCTAATCTAATTTCTTTCCGAATGAATTTGCCTATTGTAGATGATTTATGTGGAATTATACACTACTTTTCCTTTCGTGTCTTGTTTCTTTCACTTAGCACAATGCTTTCAAGGTACATTTATGTTGTGGCATTTATCAGAACTTCATTCTTTTTCATTTCTCAGTAATATTTTGTTGTATATATATACCACATTTGTTTATTCATTCATTGATTGATTAACATTTGGGTTGTTTCCACCTTGTAGATATTGGGAATAATGGTGCAAAGAATATTGCCCTGAAAATATCTGTTTGATTCCCTGTTTTCAATTCTTTTGGTCTATGCCTAGGAATGAAACTTCTGGGTCATTTGGTAATTCTATGTTTCTCCTTTTAAGTAGCTACCAAAGTGGTTTTTTGTTGCAGCTGCACAATTTTAGATTCCTACCAGCAATGTCAAGTTTCTTCATGGAATTGCCAGTACTTATTTCTTGTTTTTCTTTTCAAAGATATTATTATGATGACTATTACTATTTTGTGTAGCCATCCTAATCAGTGTGGATGATAGCTCATTGTGGTAGTGATTTGCATTTCTCTAATGACTAAAAATGTTAAGTGTCTTTTCTTATGCCTATGAGCAATTTGCACACCTTCTTTGGAGGTACTTTTTTTTGTCTGATTGGTTTTGTTGGGGTCTTTCTTGACTTTAGAATTATGTTGGTGTACTGTGACAATGCTAAAAGAAATTGAGTTTGAACTTTATTCGGGAGGTTTGTAGTTGTTAGTGTTTTTAGTGCAGTACTTCTCTATCTAAGGAAAAGTCTAAGAAACAATACAAAGTAAATTGACTAATTGCTTTATTCTTTGTTTGTATTCCCAAGAGCAATAGGCACAGTATTTTATTTCTAAATGTTATTCCTCCTGAAAGGAACAAAGCATAAATGATTTCTTTCATAACTGGGGAGGGGAAAGTGCTAGAACATCTTTTGGCAGAAATCAAAGTTTTAAAAATCTATGGGGCTATAATAATAAGAATTTTTAGGTGAGCATCTTTTCATTACCAAATAATGCTAATAGATATATCTAAATGGAGAGTCAATGTAACTATCAACATAATTACAGACAAAGACCGTCAGTAGATGCCAGAACTACCAGTTTGTTTTTTTTTTTTAACTTCATCACTTTGAATTGTACGACTCTACTCTCTCCTGCCCTGTTGGGTTTCTGCTGAGAAATCTGCTGAAGGCTGTATTGGGGATCCCTTGAATGCTATATGTTTCTTATTGCTTGCTGCTTTCAGTATTCTTTGTCTTTGATGTTTGATAATTTGATTACATTGTGATATGGTTTGACTGTGTCCCAACCCAGATCTCATCTTGAATTGTAACTCCCACAATTCCCACGTGTTGTGGGAGGAACCCTGTGGGAGGTGATTGAATTATAGGGGCGGGTCTTTCCTGCTGTTTCGTGATACTAAATGAGTCTCATTTAGATCCGATGGTTTGAAAATGGGGGTTTCCCTGCACAAGCTCTCTCTTTTCCTGTTGCCATCCAAGTAAGACATGACTTGCCCCTCCTTGTCTTCTGCCGTGATTGTGAGGATTCCCCAGCCATGTGGAACTATAAGTCCATTAAGCCTCTTTTTCTTCTCAGTCTCTGGTATGTCTTTATCAGCAGCGTGAAAATGAGCTAATACATGTTGTGACTTAGGGAACTCCTTTTGGGTTGAATTTAACTGGCAACCTCTGAGCTTTCCTTACCTGGATATTGCTGACTTTATCTAGATTTAAGGAATTTTCAACCATGTTTTATATATGCTTTTGGGACTGGAACAAGATATGTACATTTTTCCAATGCATCACTCCACGGATTACTACTCAGTTACAGAAGGTAAAGGACATATTAAAAATGAAGAGATCTGGTGTCAGTTACCTCAAATATGCATTGACAAAACAGCATAAAAATGATATTCCACATTCTTGTGATTGACCAGATGCAATAGGAAATACACATCATCTATGGTGTATATTTGCCAAGTAATTAGCCTCCAATAGTATAGAAATTCTTGTTGTGGGTCATTTTACAACTAAGCTGACCTGGATACTTCGAAAACTTATAATCATGAAAAACAGAAAATATAACAAATGGATGGAAGAGATGTATAATTTAAAAGTAACTAAGGAGAACCGATAACCTCATGAAATACATGATCTTTGATTTGTTCTAGAGGAAAAGTGAATCAAAACCAAGGGACATGTTGAGACAAACGGAGAAATTTGAGTGGGAAGCATGTACTAGATGACAATGCTATATGAATGCTAATGTTTTGAGTGTAATAGTGACATTTGTGGTTATATAAGATAATGCCAATTTTTTACGAGACCCATTTTAGTATTAAGGATAAAATGCTTCAGAAACTGAGGGCAATACATGTATAGAGAGATAAAGCAAAAGTCACCAAATGTACAATCAGCACACAGACATACATTTTAATATTCTGTTTGTTTCATTATTCTCTCACCTTTTCCATAGATGCTCAGTTTAAAAAAAATTGAAGAAAAATATTAGCAGACCAAAATAAAATGTTGTTGTTATTTCCGAATGATAATGTTGTTGGGTATTTCTTCTATTCATTTTCAATATCTTTGAAATATTATGTCATTACCATAAAATAAATATATACAATAAGGTATCTTTTAGTCTAGAGTATACTTTTGTTTTTTTAATAGGAAACAGGCTATGATTTTTAAGAAAGTCCCAAAAGAAGACAAGAGAATTTGCAGTCTGAGGACAAAGCAGCTTGGTATCTCTGAGGCCAGTGCAAAACTTAGCTACTAATGCATGTCAAGAGGACTTTTAGCAAACGTACAGGACTGTTTCCTCTGTGTCAAGAGATTCTGGTATTCTACAGTTTGGCTGAAAACTCAAGAACTTTCAAAGGTGACTGAATGTAAAGAGAAGAGTAGTGATTTTCCAAAGTTAAGGCTGGACAATATTTATTTGTGCAACAAGGAGGGAGGCTGTCTTAATTTGTCCTCTGCTGCTATAGCAGAATACCTGAGGCTGGAAAAATGTATAAAGACATTTATAAGGAAAAGGGCTTTATTTGGCTTGCAATTCTGGAGGCTGGAAAGGCCAATAGGGCATCAACATCTGCTGGACTTCTTTTGAGGGCTTTGTGCTGTGTCATAATATGGAAGAGAAGTGGAAGAAGGAGCAGGCCTGTGCAGCGAGAGCCAGGATGAGCAACACCATCACTTTATAACAGCCTGCTTTTATGGTAACTAATCCAGATCCTGGAGAGAGAGAACTGACTCCTGGCATTCATCTTTGGTGAGGGATCTACCCCCATGACCCAAACAACTCCTATAAGGTTCAACTCCCATAAGGCTCACACTACCCCAGAGAAATGTGAGCAATGTGCCTGTAGCAACATCGCTACATTGAGGAACAAGCTTCAACATGAGTTTTGGTGGGAACAAACCATACCTAAACTATAGGACAGGTTCTAGCAAGACAGTAAGAATAGAAAGAACTGGGAAAAATTTTCCCTGGTTTCTCACGAACACTGTCCTATATTAGCCCTGATTCTATTGAAGATAGTATAGAAGTCCCACCAGTATCTCTAAGCCATGGACCAAGGACCTGAGTCCAGTGACACTGAACCATTGGCCATCAGAAGACACTGGAGTTTGATGATGCTCAAATGTTTTTGAAACAGGGCTCAGTGCTGCCTGAGATGTTAAGTTTAAAGGAAAAGTGTGTATCCTAGTATCCAGTATCTTGTTTGCAGAAGTTGTGAGTAGTCAGTGAAATGTAAGATATTAAAACAAACAAACAAACAAACAAACAAATCTTTATATTCATTGGCGCTGGTATGTTCTGCTCAGCAGTAAAATCTAAACTGTAGCAAATCTTTGAGTGGAGACTGTTCTGGGCTTGCCTGGGAAGTAGATGGAGGAGAACCAGGAGCCAGCCTAAATGCTCAGAGACCCATGCAAAGGGAAAATAACTGCTTCCTCAGGAGAATTCAGAGAAATGTGAGCAAAGCACCTGTACCTTACACCTTACCTATTCTAGTCATGCCCTGGACAATGTATATGATGACGTAAGGGAAATATAGGAGAGTGGACAATTATAGTTTATGCCAGACAGGCTATTCCAAACTGCGGGTAGTAACACTACAGTTATCCTTAACAAAAACCAGATTTCCCAGGGCTCTGGCCTTTTCTTCCCTGAGCAGCACAATGACCAGTTCTTGCCTTGACAAGAATTCTGTCATGAATTTCTCAGTTGCACTGCCCAGGAAGCAGATGAAGCCTGGGAGCAATGAGGAATGTCCTCCCTGGACTTGGCATGCCTCACACGCAAGCACACCACATGTGGGTCCTGTGACTGATAGGTTTGATAGACGGATAAGTCCTGTTTCCAGCTACCAGCCTCCATCCCCCAAATGCTGTTGTCACCCAGAACTATAACCCTGGTCACAAAGATGGAGCAGGTAGTGACCCCTTAATGTGAAGAAATTTTCCATCAAGAGTTGGACTCAAATCAGCAGCTTTTGGCCTCAGTAATAAAGGATTTATGACAGAAGTGGATGGCTCTGGTAATTCTATACCCACAGGTATTCACCTGATAACCTTGACATGTGTCCCCTAGGTTTTGTCGGTTTGTCGGAATATCTCTGGGCGCATCTCACTGAACACATATATCTTCATTCCCACCTCTCTGGACATGCATCTCCTTGTGTTATTGTCTTATGCCAACTCTAGGAGCGCCATCCCCTAACTCCTTTTATTTCTTATTACTCAGGCAAGGAATAAAAGTGCGTTTGTGACTAATATTGTCCCATTAGAAACAAAAAATAGATAATGACCACTACTGTTCAACTGTAATTTACACTAGAGGTGTAGCTATAAGGTTATTTTTAGATTTCAGCAAGTCTGTTTGATTTTGCATTTCTTACAGTATATACTGATATTTTCAGGGATAAGAGAATTCCCCACTCATCTTTGACAAAAAATGAGAACTTACTTTCATTACATTGGTGACCCAAAACTATGGGCAGAACCATGATGAAGGCTTGGTACACAATGCATCATGAATGATAACAGCAAAGAGGAAACTGCTCATTGGCATTCACTAAAAATGAACCCTTCCAACTTTGTGCCCAGCATATTATTTTATCCCTTTAGCTTACAGCGTGTCAGCTAGTTCAACAAGCTTCTAGGATAAACTCGTATCAATTACCCCAGCTTCTAAGCGCATAGGACCTGGAAGATAGAGAACCTAGTAAAAGAGAAATGCCCAAAGAGAAGGATAATTACTGATAAGACAAAAAGGTCACTAATTGATATCTCTGTTTTGAGTTGCCTTCAACTCGAAACATCCAGCAGAGGATGGGCCTAGAGATGGAGTAGGAGATCCAATCCAGAAGCCCTACAGATGTGAGTGAGGACATGGCTGAACTTACACAGTCTGTGAATATGGTAAAGCAACTTCGTGCTCTGTTTCAGTTTGTAATATTGGTTTCTAAGAAGGTAGGCATTTGTGGAGGCAATGATGTCACTGTGGGAACTGCTATGAGAGGACAGGGACGTCCCTCCTCCTCTGCTCCTGCTCACAGTGACCCTGACTGGGCAAAACTCCTATCCTGCCCTGAGCCTGCCATGGGCACCAGGCTCCTCTGCTGGGCAGCCCTCTGTCTCCTGGGAGCAGGTGAGTCCTAGGAACACCATGATCACATTGGGTCTCTCAGTGATTATTTCAATCATTTCCTTCTATTTTCAAATTCTGTCTTTTTCCTTCACAGAACTCACAGAAGCTGGAGTTTCCCAGTCCCCCAGATATAAGGTTATAGAGAAAAGCCAGGCTGTGACTTTTTGGTGCAATCCTGGCCATGCTACCTTTACTGGTACCGGCCATGCTACCCTTTACTGGTACCGGCAGATCCTGGGTCAGGGCCCGGAGCTTCTGGTTCAATTTCGGAATAACGATGTAGTAGATGATTCACAGTTGCCTAAGGATCGATTTTCTGCAGAGAGGCTCAAAGGAGTAAACTCCACTCTCAAGATACAGCCTGCAAAGCTTGGGGACTCGGCCGTGTATCTCTGTGCCAGCAGCTTAGCCACAGCGATGCAGAGACACTTCCCTCCTGTGCAGAAAACTGCAGGTCTCTCTCCTCTCTACTCAGCTCACAGTAGCTTTTCCTTATTCCTCATCCTCCCAGGGAAGAAGCGAGTTTTCAGATATAGCTAGGATTCATATAGTGGAAGGAAATAAACTTTTTCTTTTCTTTTATTTTTGGTTTTGAGATGGAGCCTTGCTCCATTGCCCAGGCTGGAGTGTAGCAGTGCGATCTAGGCTCACTGCAGCCTCTGCCTCCTGGGTTCAAGTGATTGTCCTGCCTCAACCTCCCCAGTAGCTGGGATGACAGACATGTGCCACCATGCCCAACTAATTTTTGTATTTTTAATAGAGGCGGGATTTTGCTATGTTGGCCAGGCTGATTTCAAACTCCTGACCTCAAGTGATTCACCCCTCTCGGCGTCCCAAGGTGCTGGAATTACAAACATGAGCCATTGCACCTGGCTGAAAATAAACTATTTCTTAAAACACAAAGACTGCATTTGTTATTTGAAAATATGTCTAAGGAATTTGAAACACCTCTCGGTGAGAGTTCAAGAAGCCAAAACTGAAAGTGACTTATCACAGACTTAGTCTTCTGGGGTACTTCTGGGGTTCTATTTCAAAAATGAAACAATATTTTAAAATTAAAAAATACATAAATTTGAAAAATAAAAACATGCAGTCAATAAACATATGTGACAAATTTTAATAGTACAGATAATGATTGTATGTGAGTGACAAACAGCAGGCTCTCCCTCTGCAGTTGTCGGCATATGAATGATTTGAATCTTATCCTTGGTGATACCCTGACTCTGGAGCCTCCTCTAGACCTCTCATTGGATGTGTTATGCAACCAAATCTCAACAGGTACTATGTGTTTGGAAATCTTTTTCCCCTGTTTTTGGGGAAATACGTTAATACGAGTAATGTTAATGATGATGATGTTGATAATTTCAACTACTTCATTCAGCACCCTTTAAATTTCCAAGAAATGCACACAAATGGATATTCTGGCAACGAGTCCAAAATATTAGCTCAAAACGAACTCTGCTACTCCAGAGCTCTCTACCTCTTCCATGTAACAAACATATCCCAACATTATATAGGGCTGGGTCAGCTAGTTCAGAGACTGATGAGGACACCTCCACTTGTCTGTCCTCATATATTAAAATAGCTCCTTAGCTGATGTGGTTTGACTGTGTCCCCACACAAATCTCAACTTGAATTGTATCTTCCAGAATTCCCATGTGTTGTGGGAGAGACCAGGGGGATGAAATTGAATCATGGGGGCTGGTCTTTCCCATAGTATTCTCATGATAGTGAACAAGTCTCACGAGATCTCATGGGTTTATCAGGGGTTTCTACATTTGCTTCTTCCTCATTTTCTCTTGTCGCCACCATGTAAGAAGTGCCTTTTGTTTCCAGCCATGATTCTGAGGCCTCCCCAGCCATGTGGAACTGTAAGTCCAATTAAACATATTTTTCTTCACAGTCTTAGATATGTCTTTATCAGCAGCATGAAAACAGACTGATACATAAGCGCATTAGATATTCCTGAAAGAACTTCAGAAGCAATTAACTGCTCCTGGTCCAGTTGCCCCCTCTGTTAACGCACTGTGTGTGTCCAACTATAGTCTCTACCCTAGCTTCTGCCCAGACTCTCTTGTACTAGAAATCATTCTGAAGTATTGGTTAGAATGTTTGGAAATGCAGTTTCCTGGGAATCTTCTGAAGGACTGTCACTGTCCCTCAGCCCCTCCTGACTTCCCTTTCCATCCACCTGACTGCAGGTCCTAACTGATGGCCATGAACTCACTGCACATCTCCCTTCCTTCTCTACAATTTACTTAGCTAACAATACCTCAGTCCGGTGGTGGGTGACCATGACCATCCTCCACTTCCTTGCCAGAATTTTCATTTGGTTCTTTTTCTAATTTATGAGGTCATCTTTTATGGTTAGTCATTCCCTCATAACATTTTTTGCGTGTATCTTTTATTTTGTTGAGCATAGGACACTCAGTTATTTCAGTCTGCCTGCTTATTTTCACCTCTGTGGTCTTTGTGGACATTTTTGTGTGTGTACTGCTTCTCAGTCATTTGTTTGTATTTTTCCTTATAAACCTGATTATTTTTGACATCGTGCCAGACACTACAGTTGTAGAAATAATTTCTGGTCTAGGATGGATATATCTTTCTCCAGAGATAATTTTATTGTGCTTTGTAAAGGGCATGGATGCATAAACAATCCAGGACTCCCTGAAACAGAATTCAAGGCTTGAGGTGTCCTGGAGCACCTGGAGGACAGGCTTCCTTCTAGTTCATTGATTCTATTCAAGTTCCTCAATGGTCACATTAAGTAAGTTCTGGTCTTTGCCTTTACCCCCCTGACCTGTGAGTCAGCTTCCTAAGTGCTGAGCTGGGATCAGCAAATGCCCCTAACGGCAGTGACTGCTGTGCTCACTCCCCAGATTCCTGCCTTCTCCAAGATTCTGGCCCAGTTATTCCTCATTGTATCTTTAGGATACGAATTAGTTGCAGTTTGTTAGTGTGGTTGTTTTACCTAAGTACATAAATAATAACAGAAGCATTAATCTGAGTTCCCTCTTCTGTAATTATACAGATTAAAGTCAAAACATTTTATTTGAGGTTTTAATTTTCTTTGAATTTTAATGTCAGATTCTTAGTCTGTGATTTGTTTGATATTTGACTTAAATAGCATAGAGACGTTATACAGAAACTTTAATTTTAAGGAAGGACTTTTTAAAAATTTGAAGTGGATTTATAATCAAGTTGGGACCCTCACTTGGTTTTGAGACTTTATCATTTGAGTATTTTTATGTTATTTATTACGTAATCTTTGATGCTTCATTGGGTCATGCGACAAGATGAGAATAGAGAGTGAATATTTAGACTTGATCAGAGAGCACAAAGTGAACATGGAATTAATTTCTGTTGATGAAGAGTCAAACTATGTAAAATATATGAAGACATTTATTCTGAGCCAAATATGAGTGACCATGGCCTATGAAACAGCCCTCAGGAGGTAGTGAGAACAGTGCCCAAGGCAGTCAGGGTGCAGCTTGGTTTTCTACATTTTAGGGAGACATGAGACTTGAGACTTCAATCAAACACAGTTAAGAGATACATTGGTTTTGGCCAGAAAGGCAGACAACTGGAGGCAGGAATGGGGAGAGGCTCCAGCTTAAAGGTAGATTTAAAATTTTTCTGGTTGATAACTGGTTGTCTCTCAGGTTAAATTTTAAAAGAGCCCTGGCTGGGTAGGAAGTTCAGTCAGATGACTGGGGGGCCTTAGAATTTTATTTGTGGTCTACACTTCATTTCTGCATTGTTGTGACGCATTTGTGCTGTGTTTTTTGAGCACACCTGAGGCGCAGGGGTCAGAACTAGAGGAAGTCTACTTATGTCATCTTTTCCTACTTAAACCTAGTCTTCTGGGAAAACGCCTTGCTCCACATTTTCCATTTTGGGGAACTTCCCTAAAGTAATGCTCTAGTTTTCTTCTTTCTATTGCTTGCCAAATCTTCCATGTGGGAAGAGAAATAAGTTATTTTATTTAGTCTCCTCTTCATCTGAGATTCATCTCTCTTCATCATCTCCTTTTCATCCTGGCTACTGAGAACAAAGGCAGATTTTTTGGT